TATTTAAGGGGATATTTTGGAAAATGTATTTTTTTAAGATCACATTATTGTTGACCTTGACCTTTGACCAATCAGCTCTGAAACTCACTTGGTGAATGAGTAATAATTATACCACCAAGTTTAATGAAAATCAATTCATGCGTTGGTGAGTGTCACACACACACATACAGGGATGAAAACAATACCCTGCCTGCGTGGCTTTGCCAGGGTACAGAATAATAACAGTTATTCACACTCCTAATTACTGCAATTTTTAAAGCATCGTGAAGATACAGAATTGTGACGATACAAAATCCCTGAAACGCAAGTGATCGTTATTTCTTTGCCAGGGTCATTTTTTTTATTATATAAAAGGAAGGGGCAAGGAAATGCTGAGCAAAAGAATGCATTTACAGAATAGCTTTACTTTGATGAATGAAAGGTAAAAAGCAATAAACAAATGGAAAATCAATAAGTGGTGATCAGTTATGATGTTGTGGTCGAGGACACAAATAAATCAATATATGCAAAAACACTGCAAAGTGTAAAAATACTTTGTGTTCATAATGAAACTGTAGCAAGTCAGAGGATGTCAGATGAGTAGGCGATGCTTCAATTCCTGCTGCAATAACATCTGATTTCGACCCCCATTAGCCACTGTATTGTAACATTGGCTACTCTTGCAGGGGTCCCCACAGCTTTTTGATGCAGAATTTCAATAACAAAGAAATATCATTACACATCCATATTCTTTATACTAACAAAAGAGCTGCAACACATAATTCAATGACTATAACACACAACGACCAACATCAAATCAGAAACCTCTCTAACACATGATAGCTCATTATCGATTTAACAAAAATAAATCTTATTGTAACTACAAATAACAATAATATCCACGTCACATCCATCTTCAAGATCAACAAACAAGTAAATCATGTGAACAAGACGCTCATGTAGTGCTCTACTTTATGTCTTATGTTAACAGGTACAGACCTGTCATAGTGAAAGTTATATTTTCTTTCAAACCCTGTTGTGTTATCTTTTTAAGTTGAAAAACTTGGTAGGGAATTTCAAGATATATATATATATATGTGTGTGTGTGTGTGTGTGTGTGTGTTAAGTGAGTGCTCAATAGAGTGTCGTGCATGCAAATGTAATTTCAAGCACCACTGGTTTTCATATAAATTAAAATACACACAAAACATAGGCTTCAATTATGAGAGTCACAAGGTTTGACTCTAAGGATATGATCTGACTGTCCATTGCCCAAACAGCCTGGTTATGACTTTTCACAGTAAAGAAGCGGGCTGTGTTAAAGCCACTCTGAAAAACCTTTCCTGAACATTGGCTCACAGTTAGGTGATAGTTTTATAAAGGCCTTGTGTTTTAAAAAAGGATCCCCATCCTAATGATAGTTCTTATCTAAGGGTATAGGCAAGGAGGCAATTGCTTGGGGAGAGGGGGAGCCTTGAGAACAGCAGATTACTTTAGTCCACAAAAACAATCATTTCAATTCTGTGGTCCTCTGTGTACAGGAGACTGTCACGACGTCATGGTCAGAAAAGTTTGAAATGATTCATGTGTATCCACAGTTTGAACGTTATTATCTTGATACGTAAAAGAATAATTTGAAGATTGGCGTAATCTGGTTTGTATATCGTGTATTTTCTTTTTTTGTAGGGGGAGGGGGACAAGATAAGATAAGAAAAAGACTAACCCCAAGGGAAATTCTTTTGGCAGCTTGTTCCAAAATGAAAGTAAAAATA